GGAAGTGACAGTTACGCTGTTCTGTTACTTGAAGGAGCTAAACCAAACAGGCTTAGAACTAGAGCTGGAAATTTCAGGTGGAGTTTGAAGTACAGTGGTACTTTCTTATTTCTTCAGTTATGTATACCTCAATAGAAATATTTAGACCGTTCCGGGATCTGTATACTCAGATTTACTGTCTGTGTTTAATGGGACTGTCCCATACTATCTTGAGGCAAACAGAACAGTAGTGATTAAAGTAAGACATTGATAGCTGAAAATGCATTTTGCTCTCTGATTTTCTGCCAAATCTCATTTATCATGGGCCTTGTGCACTACCGCTGACCGTCTCAGTAGCCTGAATGTGTGCTCTAGAGCTGTGGGAGCATACAGGTAGTTTCGTTGTTGTGGTAGTGTGCTTGATTTATTTACTAAGTACCAATATTTGCATGTGTGGAGGTATACACAGACCTCTACAGCCTTCCAAGCAACTGCTGATACCTCCAAGCGCTTTAGACTTCTTATTATGGAAGTGTGCAGTATTGCTTTTTAAAGGAGGGCAAATAAGAAGAAAGAATTATACAAGACATACTAAAAAATACACCATTTTTTTCCTGTGTGACCTAGAGCCTGAATAAAGTTTATTTGACTGTTGGAACCGAACACAACGCAACTAGCTTGTAAGCATTGCCCGACAGCTTGCTTTGCAGTTTTAAACTGCATTGCTTTTATACCTAACTCCCACAGAAAAACATCTCACCTCAGGGGAGAACTGGTTAATGGTGAGTCATCTCACTTCCCATTCGCTCAGGTATACCTGTGCGAATGCAAATCACTGCCTGGGAACCTGTTACACCAGATCCAGGATCAGATCACCTGGCTGCCGAGTTTCCCTTTCTTTTTTCTTTTTTCCTTCTTTTTCTTTTTTTTTTTTTCCTTTTTTTTTTTTTTTTTTAAATCTGGGAACACGGTGGCAGGGTTGTTTCAGAGCTCTGTGAGTGTGAAAGTTAAACATTTCCTACTGGTAAGGGGAGGGGGAGGAAAGAAAAAACCAGATAGATAACCACATTTCTTTCATGTGCTTTGCTTCAGGGCGACAAGCCGCCTCCTGTCCCCAATGCCACATGGGGCTCTCGAGGGAAAGTGGGAGACTTGGAGGAAACTGTGAATGATGGTAGACCTGAGCGAGAAATGCTCCTCCAGGTGTGCCAGGCCCAGGTTGCTGAGCTGGAACAGTGGCTAGACAAAACTAAAATGTCCCTGAGCTCAGACCCTCAGACCCCCAAAATGCAGCACGTGGTGGAAATACAGCTTGCTGAATACCAGGTAAGACGGAGCGGTCAGTTTGCTGCTGCCATCCAAACAAGTTGCCCTTCCCTGGGGTATGTGTCTGCAGACAAGCTATGCTTACTGCTTCTCTTCTCCCTGCTTAATCAGCTTCATTACGCTGTGCAGAAAACAGGTAACCAGTTGGCTTCAGCTTCAGGTGCAGCTTACCAAGGGCTTAGTTAAAATACCTATATTTAGAGTTTGGATCTTTATGCATCCAGGGGATTTAGGTAGAATTCTTGAGTATTTTGAAAGCTTTGGTTTTCTTTGGATTATTTTCAGAAACATGGCTCAGTATAGTTTGAATCCTCTATTAAAAAGCAATTTGTCATTGGTCTAAACCATGACAAATCAGCTAGAAAAAAGGAATTTTTTTTTTCTTTGACATTTTCACTTTCTATTTTTGTCAGAGTGATTTAAAAGACTGGTATAAGATAGCTTCCAAGGTGGTAAATTTTTCTTTTGCACTTTTTGCAGAAAGCAGCTGGCATAGGTAGAAAGATAGGGGCTTTTCCTGTGCCCTCAGTGAGCAGTGGCAATATTTGGACGTACTGCCATACTGTTAGGGCAGCCTTTTGCCCCAGATGGCAGCGGAAGGAAAGGAGTGGGTGGCGGTGCCCACTGGTGACAATGGGTGGAGCAAAACAGGACTGACATGAGGGGCTGAGGTGGGTGGGAGTCCTGGCATGCAGCTTTTTTCTCTGGCGTGCATATTAAAAGAAAACATGCTCACATGCCACTTTCAAGTTCCCTGTGGTGCCAGTCTGGTGTACCAGTTTGCTTCAAGCACTGAGTCTACCTGTTACCTAAAGTAACAAACTTGACTCACCATAAAGGAGTCAATACCAAAATGTCACCATTTTAAGTTACTAGGAGACATTTCCAGCTGTTTTGTTGTTGTTGGTAGGTTTTTTTAACAGGAACTGAGTCCATGCCAAGAAGTGCCTCTGGGTTTAGTCTGTGATTCAGCCAGGTGCTGAATTCTGTGGGAATTAGTACCCTGAATGCACCTAAGTAGCTGGCTGTGTGTGGATCCCATTCCAGAGCAGTTTCAACTGGTAAAAACAAGCAGAATTCAGGCAGCTGTAAGCGCTGCTGAATTCCTGTCAGCTTTTAACAGTTTGGGTCAATGTTAAGACGTGAACTTGGCATGGAGGAGGCTTTTCTAACCTAGTCAAGATCTACACAGAAAAATACACATAGCATGAAGCAGAAACAGTCTCTAGATACGGATGTGTGATGTAGAGCAGTTAATTTATTGCAGTTGATTACTTTGCAGTTGAGCCATGGTACCTGTCTCCACACTCGCCTTAAAAACCTGAGTTTAAAGTAATGCAGAGATGCACTTTGATTCGCAGCAGCTTGAATCAAAACACAGATTCCAACAGTTTATAATGACCTGGCTGACACACAGTAACGTTACCATGTTTTGGTAATTCAGCATCATTCCTCCCAAAGGGTGATGTGATCAGTCTGTGCACTGCCTCCGTCTCCTGCAGTGGGGTGTGTTGTCTTCTTGGTTGCATCCAAATAGAGTCTAATTTCTGCTCTCCTCTTTTATTAATCCATATCTGAGTTAATATAACTTCCTGCAGAGGCTGTTGTTTGAAACAGTTTTAAGACTAACACTGTATAAAATTTATTTAAATGTTTAGAATAAAAAAAAAGACTCTATTGGAGAAAATCTAAAGGGTTTGCAGATATTTCTCTTTTTGCCTTTATGTTTCTGTTCTTTTCAGACAGGGGAAGTGTGAGCATTGACTTAAGAGTGTTATCAGGAAAGGAGTGTTGTACTTCTAAGAATGAATAATTGACTGCTGTCCTTTCTAGGTAACGATATCAGAGCTTGAACAAAAGGTCCTTTCCTTACTGCAAGATTACAGAGATGATGCAGACTACCAACAAGAGACAGAAGCTCTTTCCTTGAGGCTGAAAGAAGTGAGGTGCGATTTGGAAGAAGTCCAGATGATGCTTCAAGAAAAATGTGATGAAGAGCAGGTAAAGCATATGAATGCTATACAGAGCAAGAGTGAGAGACTCATGGTGCTTTAGTGCGCTGTAGTTGCAGAAGAACAGTTAAGAGCTCACCATGCGAAGCAAGGAAGGAAGAAAAGTCAATCAGAAATGTCAGACTTGCTATTATTATACTTTACAGTGGTGTATAATTATTTGTAGTTTGCAGTGAATCGTGAATTTTTAATATGTCTCTGAACAACATCTTTTCTGCTTTAAGTGCTCAGTGACAGAGGTCAAGATTTTGTGAAGAGTACAGGAAAAGGATAAAAAGGTTTTCTTGTTTTGGTTTGGTTTTTTAAATGCCTTTAAAATGCCATGATGTTTGTCTGTGACAGTATCACAGCAGAGAGGCCTCTAAGCAGTAACTTTCAGTTTGAAGAATGCATAAATGGCAAGGGCAGTGACTCTGCCAGCTCTCCTGTGCCACAGCTGCATGCTCTTTGTTGAGTTTCCCAACGGGTGAGACAGTAACTCTCAGCTTCAGAGCTAATTCCCACTCTGTTGTGCAAGGGGCTAGATAAGCCCAGCTGATGTGTTTGTGTAAGAGCAGCCACAGTCTGTCCGGTGCTGGAGGAGCACAGTCTAAAAGGGAGCTTGCATGGCCCAGGAGAGAATTAGTGCTGGTAAAGGCTCCTGTTGAAATATCTGTGTGAGCACAGACAGATAGAAAATCCAGGTGCGTGAGCAAATTTATAAGCATAAATTGCACATCCCTATAATTTGGTCAAACAATAAGAATGGGAGAGTTAGTATCAATTAATCTGCTAACAGGAAAAGCAAAACAAGGCTTGTAAGTGTCAGGGAGAGAAATGTGAGGACTTTAGCAGCAGGTTAGAATGGATCAAACTTTCAGTAAATAGAACTGGACAAAAATCTTTGCAAGAGTAGCAACTGTGTTTCGCGCACTGCTGATTCTATGTATGGTAAGCCCGAGACAGCTCCGCTTTTGCCATTTCTCCAAACTGTGGTTTCTGCCCTCTTGTCAAGTCTGGAAATCTTCCCACAACAGAACTCTCTTTACAGATTTACGACACGGAGAGGATTGACCCAGAGCCCCTTGAGGTTCTACACTCAAACAACACCAGCACATCCCAGCTTGCCCTTGCTGAACAGCCACTCATTTGGCACAACGGTTTCCAGCACCCACAGGTAACTCTCCTACCATCCAGGAGCCAGGCTGCTCCCCTGTGGGTGTGGGGGACAGCTGCATTTATTACCTGCTGCAGTTTTCACTGTGGGATCAAATCTGTCAATGGTAGGTTTCAGCCACCCCTGTCTTCCAGGATTAGGGGAGTTTGTCAGGATGGAGAAAGGCCTCACCCCTAAAATCCCATGTCCAAAAGGTTTAGTAATACTATGAAACTGGATGGTACCCTGACACTTGCCTTGTATCACAATGATTCAGATGGCATCACCCATCCCCCCGATCTCCTGTTTTTGAAGCGTTGATGTATTATGAGATCAGAGTCTATATATTGACATTGCTTTTGAAGATGAATTTGAAGCTAAAGCTTGTGAACGCTTTCCCATGGGCTAACTCACAATGACTTTAAGGTTCTTGTTAAGACAATAAAAAAATCCTGTGCTGTTCTGTGCTCTGTAAAGTACTTCTGTTTTGCTAACTGAAAATTAGCTTTCGCCCTTTTCATGCTATTAGAAAAGAGTTAGAGAAAATGATCCATCCTGAGCTGCTAAAATTGCTCGTTTTTCACTCAACACCCTCTTTTTAACTAACGGAACTCAACCTCATAATTGAGCAAGTCTCTATTTTCCCTTGCCTTTTTCTCTGTATAAGGTTGGCAGTCGATGGCCTTTAAATTTCCATATGTGCATAATTTGTTTCGGACCGATGATTTTTGCTTTTAAAACTTTAGCTCAGGCAGAAATATATTCCATAAAAATACATGTTTTCAGAAAACTGTTTGTTTGATAAACTTATGTTTAGACATAAACTGCATTTTATTCTGATAGATGTATTCTTACTTTCTTTGCTAAATGAATTCACTTAAAATGTGATTGAAAAAGTACAATCATAATTTCAGATTAATACAGTGCACATAACTGATTTTACTCTTCACACTGTTCTCTATGCACAGGATCTGAAAGTAAAAGCAGGTGAGCAGAAAAGCCTCATGGACTTCATTGAATCATGTGTGGAAAAAATGCAGTTACAATTTGAGGACAGCGTGACTCAGAAATTAGAATCAAGGTACAAAATAACAAAATCAGTTTCCAGATTCAGTGATGTACAACTGCCTAAACCTGCTGAAACTTTACCATGGCACCATTGGTTCTGTGCAGGGATGTGTGCCTTTAGAAGAAAAATTGCAGAAGCGGGGAGGTTTCTGCCATCAACAGTCTAGAGAAATGGAGTCTCATTTATGTGAAACCCTCCTTGCTACTGGGCTGACTGCAGTGTTTAGAGTCAATCTTGGTATCAGGCAGGACTGATACCTGCCATAAGCTAAAGCAGGCCCATCTGGAGGCAAGTTGGGTACCTCTGTTCACAGCCACTGCTGTACAAATGCATGGAGATACCCAACCAGATTTAAATGCAGCATCTTTGAAAAGAGGGCATTGGGATCAGGCTCCTTCCAGCATGGAACCGGGATTTGCTATAGGACTGTGTTCCCCATATTGTCATTTCAGAGATGAAGGCTGCCAGCAGGCCCCTAGGGTGTTTGATGGGAAGGGAAAAGCCCAAAGAAATGTATCAAAGCTTGGATTAAAGATCATGCATGCACTTGGTTTTACTCTGGTTTTGAGGCAGGAGCAATAGAAACTAACCTTATACAAGAAGTCTTACAAATCTAATTGTGCTTATTCTGCTTCAGTATTTGACATTCTAACAATGTTTTCTCAATACAGCAATGGAGAATCTGATCCAAAGAGCAAGCAGGATGATCCCACCTTATCTCCAAAGGACCAGATGGGTAATAAATGGCAATATTTACAACAAGAGCTGTCATCAAAGATGAAATCTCCTCTCTGCCAGCTTGTGGAACCTCAGGTCTGTTTAAGTTCAGTAAACCACTCTTTCTGCAGACAGTTGGTTGTGGTAAAGATAGCAATTAGTCCATCTTCCTGCATCATCGTATCATGTCTCTTCATCAGATAACTGAAATCTGTTCAAGTATTCCCCAGAGAAAATTGTTACTGAATACTGTTTTCATGATTGTCTTTTAATTTTACTTTGAGGTAAATAATGTCTCTGAGGTAGCGACTACCAAGCATACTGTGGGAGCACATAGGTGAATCCTTGTAGTTAACATTCAGGCCAGATGTTATCTACTTAATTCTTTCAAGAGAGCTAAGATAGTTAGCTAGCAAGCTCCCAGCTGATTTTTGTGGATGTGGGTTAAGTCTCAGTTCTTGCAAGTGAGAACATTTTGGTCAAAATAAATCTCTGGCTTAAATTTTGTTCTGCATTCACCATTGTGTTCTTTCTCACATATCAAAAGCGGAGTTTAGACTGCAACTAGAGAATGCTATGTATATATTCTGAACAGACTGCAGAATTTTACTGCTTGGACAAAACTATAATTTCTGTTATTAACAGTTTTGTTCACATTAAATTAGAATGACTAGATTTCCTGTTCTCTGCAATTACTCCATTATGTGCAAGAGTATCAACCACGTGAAAGGATGAATGTCAGCTCTTTTTCAGGCAAGACTTACACTGCAGTGGGCAGTAGGGCTGCCTTAACACAGACTAGAACCTGTAGCCCTTAAAGCTGGGAATCAGAGGCTCCTTTTTCAGTCAATCTACCATCAGGACATAGCTTACCCAACTAATTTTTACCAGTAAAAAGGGAACTCTGCTATCCAGGTGCTTTATATTAATGCCTTGAAACTTTGATTTTAAAGCTTTTTGAAAGGAGTGTTATCCACTTGCCCATAGCCCTGTCTTCGTTTGAGCAGTTCACCTAATTGTGATATTCTTTTTCCAAATGTTAGATTACAACAAAGATGAACATACTGCCCCGAGGCACATTTGCTAGTGCAGGAACCCCAACTGTGGAAGAACTGAAAACTTACACTGTCCAGCTGGGAGAGCTAAGCCAAGAAGCAAATGTGGTGCATGCACAGGTAAAAATGGCATATCCTAACATTGCAAAAAATACCAGGGATTCTAGACACAAGACACTATTTGGGCACTGGGAAACATAGCCAGTAATCATGTTATTGCAAATGGCAATCACTGTCGTGTACCTTTTGCATCAAGTATGGACTATAATGTAGAAATCAGCTTAGGATTTTGAGAGGAAACATTTCAAGTTTCAGCTGTGATACTTCTGCTACCTGAATCCAAAGATTTGCTAGTGTGGGTAAAACTCCTCAAACTGTATAAAGCAAGGAGCCTGTGAATGATTTCAGTAAATCTGCAGTATTGGAGCTCACAAGACAAACTGTGTAGTGCCCATTCCTCAGATTACAGAGCTGTAAGACCACAGCCATTCCCAATACATAAAAGTTCATTGTCTCAGATTTGGCCTTGACAGCTCTGAATATTGCATGCATATAACTGTCTCATCCAAGTCTGTCCCTCAGTATTTCATTAATTCCATTTTATTATTGGCTGACTGAACCTCTAACCTTATACAAGTGAATAAATCTTAGCCGTGCCTTAGGTGAAAGTACTGAAAATTTCTGACTTGCCTTAACCCAGGATAATGTGGCAGAGGAAGTCTCTTCAAATTTGGACAGAAAATTGTTTGAGCTGCTTCTGCCAATCAGCCAATGTTTGAATAACATGGAGGAGATGTTAAACACCTCAGTCCTCTCCACCGAAGAGGCAGCCATGCAGCAAGCGCTTTACGAGGTAACTGTCCTAAAGCATCCAGGGAAGGAGAAACCCCAGTGCATTTCTGTCACAACAGAATATATATTGCTTGATATTTCCTTTCTGTTTTGCTGGTATTATTCAGGAATAACAGCACCAAACTATTTGGTGTTGCACAGATTTGGGCCTATTGCTTTTAACAATTATCAACTTGAGTCTTACTGCCTTTTACAGGCAAAAGTCCTTGGACAGATACCATTTTCACTCATGTTATCTTTCTTTCAACCCTGTAGACTCTTTCTGTCGAGCTGCAAAAACTTCACGCTGATCTGAGTGATAAAAAGAATGATCTTCTAAAGTCTATTAGCTGTGCTGGTGGGAGCACAGATGTGTTCTGTGAGTGCTTTAACAACTTGCAGGCACGGCTGAAACAACCTCAACCTGCCACTGCTTCAAGGAGCAACTCAATGAAAGCTGGGCTGGATCATAATAGCAATTATCAGGTACTCCACTGCCAAATGCACATCTTGTTTCACAGCATCTGTTAGACATGGCAGTGTTAATGCATTTGGGTTACAGATGAGCAATCTATAATGGGCTTTCTTTTTTTTTTTTTTGGTACTAAACAAACTTGTCTTGGCCTCTCAAGAATCAAATTAATTTTGCTGTTTATGGTGCTGTTTGCAGTGCTGACTACTGTAGAGGCCTTGATAACAATAGAAAATTTGCATGCAGAAAGGATGGAAGTAACCTGGGATCCCGTGCATACTGAGCTACATGCTAAAGCAAGTTTCTGTGTGTAGGGATTAGGCCAAGCAGGGTTTTGTATATTCTTTCTGCTGCTGTGTGGACTCAGGAGAGGCAGGCTTCTTCCCTTTTGGTGCTATCTCTCGCACTGGGCTACTTTTAGCTTTTGATTGGAGGTTGACTTGACCCTTTGTATTTACTGTTCCTTTAGATTTTGTGCCACAGTAGCAGAAGCCATAGTTTTGCAAATTTGCCTTTTTTGGTTCTTTTTCTCATTATCTGCTTCTCCAAAACTTTTCTATAGATTCTTGTGATGGGCTAAATCTACTAGCTATTGCTGGAAAATATTCGGATCAGGTATTTAGGCTAAAGTAAGGAAAGAAAAGCCTGGTCTTTGAAATACAGAGTTTCCAATGTCCAGCAAAGCTCCAGTGTGCTCACCATCTGCAAGTTAGCCTACCTCTTTACTGCTGAATAATAAAACAGTTCCTTTGAAGAACACTGGGATGTTGTCTCCAAACAGCAGCAGGAGTAGTCTTGCAATGTTTACTTATGCAGAATCCATGGAGCTCCACCAGTCGCCAGTAATGGGCTCATTTTCTTGTTTTCAGAAGAGAAGAATTTGTTTCTCTATAAGTTTCACAGATTTTTATGGTCATAGAGGATCATTGTGACTGTAATGTGCTTTCTTAGCTACACAGTCTACAGAATTTTCCTCTCTAAATTACTGCTTTAAGCCCATAAGCACATGCTTTATTTTGTTCTTTTAAAGAGGAAAAAAGTGCTTTTGCCGTAAGAGGTAGCCATTTTGCTCGCTGTATAATTTTGTCTGGTCATTACTATATTCCTGATACGTGATATACTTCTGATGTTTGTTTCTTTTGCAGAATGAAATCAGACTGCTCTATGATCAGTTAACTGAGAAAAAAGCTACTCTGCAACAGTGCTTGAATGCAATATGTGGACATAATGTTTCTGAACAGCTTCAGGTAATTTCATTTGAAGGAAAGGAGGGGAAAAACTATCAGCATTAGCTATTATTTCCAGTTTTCTGCCATCTATTAAGTTTCATATTTTTTAAAGTCTCACTTAGGTTTCAAGAATGGGGGAAGGAAAGAGTTCAGTATTTGCCACCTGTTTTGTTTTTTTCTAACTACATGCCAGTCAGACCTAATTCCAGACCTTCTAGTAGCTGGAGTGGAGGAACCAGTCTCTCCACCACCTCTCAGAGCAAATACAGCCTGTACTACAGCAGAGAAGAAAAAGAGCTATACAAAGTACAGCACTTCACACATTATGCCTTTTTATATGCAAAACTAGGTTTTCTTTGTGGGAATAGGTCTCCAGTATTTATATCTACTCATTCAGCATTTATGAGTGCTTTATCATATGGCATTTGACCAGTTAAGTGATTTTCTTCGGCCTTCGTAGGGATTAGCATAGAATTAAAAATTAATAGACTGCATATGCTCCCCAGAATGGTCATCAGCCGTCTATCTACTTGTTGGTGAAGCAAAGAGGATGTCCCAAAACTTTTTGTTACAGGTTCATAACCTTGTTTACGGGCATAATTTTCTGCCAGGCTGAAAGCTGTGTTCAGAACTTCTGAATCCCCTAGCATGGACTGCTGCCTTAGATATATTCTGTCAAGTGACTACTCTTGGAAAAGGAATGCCAGAAGTACATATCTTCTCTTCCTTCAGAGAGAACCTGTCTCAATCCATCCCTGACTGAGTCTAATTCATAAGAAAAAAATGGGATTTTCTGAGTCCATGCTTCCTTTTAATGAATTAGTAAACTGAAATGCATGTTGAATGTTGAACTGAGACACAAGACCTGAATTCCCTTCCTGGCTGTGCCATGTGAATGAACCCAGTAAGCTATGTTATGAACAATATTGTCTATTTAGCTTATAAACCCATTAGATCTCGGTGTCTCATTGTGAACTTACAAAGTGCTAGCACAGCAGAGATCCAGCTCCTGGATCTGCTGCACTACTAGTGATAATGGAAAGTTTAATGGAACAGAAGTCTTCCTAATCGCTTTTTTTGTCCTTAATTCAGAAAACTGATGCCTGGGCTTTGGAGCTGCAAAACTTTGAAAACCAAGTAGCAAAACTGAGAGGCCATGGGGAAAGATTTCAGTTACCTATCACCTTAATCCAGGAAGCTTATAAATTAGAGGTAAGATCACAGTACAGTTTCCACTTACTCAGCGAGGTCTGATTCTTCTAAGCAATACCTTTTTAGCATCAAAAGCCTGATGGTTAGTTTGCATTCTGGGAATGTGTGTGCAGGTTTGTAAGATTCATTTCTGCTTCATGAATCACTAAACTGCATTTGCATTGTAGGATGTTTTGGATGACATGTGGGGGATTCTGAAAGCAAAGTATGTGGAGCTGAACCCTCCTTCCATCAGTGAGAGCCAGTACGAGGACTTACTTCATGGATTTGCAGAGCTGGTAGCTATTGGACAAGAGAAGATTGCACAAGATCCAAAGCAGCTAACAAAAAGCAGAGCAGCTCTGCAGTCTCACCTGGAAAATCACAAGGTATAAGATGCTTATCACAGCACTGCTCAGATCAGCATAGCAGGAGCACTATTTTCTGTGACTGCTTCTCTTCAGTGTTATGGAGAAGAATAACTAGCTTATAGTATAGGGGAGGGACTGGAGTACGTGCAGAAAACAAAGCAAAATTTTTCAGTAGACCAAAAAAGGACCCACTAAAATATGCAAAAGAAGTTGTTATTACAACTGCAGATTTGGTGATAAATTAAAATCAGGATTTCAGTTTTGTCAGTCTAATACTACTTTGGCTTACCTCAGAACATATTGATGTGTGAGGAAAGCATATTCCCTTCTAATTACCAGTAATAAATCAGTAGTGAGGCTGTTGAAGTTGCTGTCTAGCAATTGGGAGTTGAGCCTTTGCTTTCAGCATTCTGTGCCATCATGATCTGGTGGAGGAAACTTACCTGTAACAGCTCCTTTTCTGAAGGGAAGACAGTTTAGATCCTCCCCTTGGCAGCCCAGTGTTCCCTGTACCCAGCTGCTACATGCTTGATGGGAGATGGCTGGGCATGCATCTGCATCCTCGCTGTCCTGCCGCTTGGCAAGAAGCTCTGGCCAGTGATAGTCACTTGAACTCTGTCATGTTAACCTATTGATTTAACTGCTTCACAAACTCCCTTTAGAATTGCTTCAGGATGCTAAGCACTGCAAACCGCTACTCTAGAGTCATAGGAATGGTGTTTGTCGCTTACGAATGGCCCTTAACAAAGGAAAATGTTATGAATTTATTTACAAAGGAGAACAAATAATGTATCTGCAGTCCAAATATGCATATATTAATTTGCAAAAGCAAAAGAAAACTGCAAAAGCTGTTTTCCCTGCCCTGGTTATCAAGACTTATCAGGATGCTCACGCAGCCTATGCCTGGAGCATGGTCCTTAAGTGAATTTCTTGTACTAGTTACTAGTTTTTAGTGAAAATGATCTTGGTTAAAGAGTGTGATCTTAAACTTTCAAAGCTTTTTTGTGGGGTAAAGTGTTCTGTTGAAATTCAGACATTTCACAAGAGCTCAGCTGAGCCATAACTAAATCAAACTGTTACCTTATAGTTATCCCAAAGGACTGTTGTGCCCTGCCTACTACTTAGGCCTTACAACTGCTAATACCCTTGGTGCTTGGAGTCATCTCACATCCAGGTGAAACAAACTGGATAATGGCTGCCTGGTGATAACTACCTCATGCTGAACTATTAATTTATTTGTAGTTAAACTCTTCCTTCCATCACCTTCCTACAACATCTTCGTATTTCCTGTGAACTGAAGGTATAAATGTAGATCTTTTTCTTTAGAAATGTATAAATGAAAATAGTATATGCAACTCATCACTGGTTCCTGACTAACTGTAAAATGATCAGTAACTGCCCATCTTGGGGTGATGCAGAATTTGGGTAGAAGGCTATTGAATCCAGCTATGAGAGACCCTGAAACTGACTGCTTTTCTCAGTGAGTCTTCTCTGTCTTCTTCATACTCCTGCTGTGGGTGTGTGATCTCTCTTAAAGAGCAAGCTTTAACTTGTTTTTTTCAGGACTTTTTCCACAACCTCATGACCCACATGACTTTCATGCAAATGTTTTCTGAGAAAGTGACTCCTTCCATCCTACAAAAGAGAGAAGAATTCTGGAGAGAGCTAGTGATTGAAGTCAAGTTGCTGGAGCAGAAGGCTTGCGAATATGGTATAGACTTAGAGAGTCTGTTAAAGGTAATGAGTCAAAAGAAACCCAGAGTAAAAGCTGGAGGGAAGAAGAAGAGTTGCTTCTAGGGGAACCCTTTCCACACCAGTGATTCTTTGGCTAGTAGTTGTCCTTTCCCGTCTCCATTGGACAGCAACAGTCTATTACTTGTTCTGTGTGTGTCAGTAAGCTGGCTTTTTTCCTTGAAAACCTCTGAAAGTGGACATTTCAACATGGGTGGGATTTTATGACTTCTTGCAGTAATTTTTGAGTGCCTGGACTGACAGAAGAGCCCTTTAAGGCACAAAAATACCAGCACCACTTCAAAGTAAAACTTAAAAATTGATCTTAAAACACCCCTAGAGAAGAAAAAGTTAAGTATGCCACTTTAAAATAAGAAATCTTAAGATAATGGAGAATAAAATAATTAATTCATCTGAGGTGAAATCATGTCTCATTTTAATATTTCCATATTACTCATCTATTTTCGTGCTCAGTTTCATTAAAGCAAGAGCTGCTGATGTTAGAATAAGCATTAAGGCCTTGGTCTGGTGTAGCAAAAATGCAGCTAAATGTGTGCTATGTTAATGATGCAATGTATTTTTTAGGAATGGATGGAATTTGATGATGGATGCCTGGTTTTCAATAAGGAGTTAGAGGCACTTGCCTCTACGTTGCCTTCTGTGAATTTGGTTGAAGAAACAGAAGAAAGATTAATGGAAAGGATTGTACTTCTAGAGGTATTTGTGTGTCTGTCTCTCTGACTGGTTGTCTTCGTGGATATGTAGAGCTGGCAAAAAGATTAGTTAGATTATGAGGAGAAGACGTTTTGCAGGGCACTGTTTCCTTTGTGTCCTTGTCTTGTGTGGATACAAGCTGAAAGCTTACTTTTAAAAGTAGCAGGGGATCAGGCTGCTAATTTCAGCCAGGGGCTACAAGTTCATTTAAGTGGAAGTAATGACTCTAGCAACTTTAGAACTTGATCTGCAAAGGCAAATATTTGGGAGAAGATGATGTGCAGGCTACATGGGTCCCAAGGACAGCAGGGAGCCTTGGAGTGAATACAGAGCCACTTCTTTGTAATTCAGGAACAATTTTCATGCCGTGATGTAAAACCTATGGAAGAGGAGAGTCAACATACTGCCTTCAGATATCTGAACCCCTGGTTGCAATAGGTGGTCTAGAGGTTTATCAGCTCCTTTGAAGACATCAGAAACAAAGTAGTAAAGCTTAGAAGATGCTTTTGGGGGGAGTTCTAGCACTGGAGCTTCACAGTTTCAAGGACAGAGCAGAATAAAATTCTCTTGGGCTTAAATCCTGTGAGAGAAATATCCCTAGTAATAATATTGTACAAGCCCCTTATGCCTGGAGAGAAGTGAGATACTTGCACATCACACAATTGCTACTTTCTGACTTCTCCCTGGGACTGATCTAATTCCTGGTTTGGTTTTTTTTTTTCCTCTTCTCATTTTGACCTTCCAGTGAAGTTTCATAATGGCAAAATGATGCTTTGTTTTTATTCAACTGTCTGAGCAAACCAGACCACTCCTATGTCTTTTAGTTAATATCATCACTGTTCACTCTTCATTCCTTCCTGCCACCATTATTCATTATCCCAACAGCTTCCTTCAAAACACTGGTAACATTTTTTTTAATAGGATAGAGCCTGAAGGCCCTCTAAGAACAGGAGGGCAATAACTTTCCGCTGGGGACAGTCATATGTTTGAACAATGCAACCAGATCTGATAGAGAGTGTTTGTCCATTGCCTGAGGTTTACGTGTGTCAAAAAAGCCCATCAAATCGTAACACAGTCATTCTGATAATGTATGAAATTATGTTGAGCTCTGTCTTGATCTATCCAGAGGAAACAAACAACCAAAAAAAAAACCTATGTCCTTTTCGCATGTAGTGAAGTACAGATTCCTTCCATTTGGAAAATAAAATACATGACGTAGGAAATGTGAGATTAAGAAGTTAGAACAAATGATATGTGTTTTGCTAGCTGCGTTTTCAGTTTTTTAAATATTATGGTTTTGCAAACTTCCCATATTCTGATAGCAAATCAAAAGAAGTGTTGATGAAAAGCATGCCAGGCTGTACCAGATGGTGAAACAAGGGAAGAAATTGCTTACTGCTGTGAGCTGTCCAGAAATAAGAAGCCAGATTGGGAAGCTGGAAGAGCAGTGGTTGTCTTTAACCAAAAAAGTTGGCCATGAACTACACCGACTTCAAACATTACTCAAGCTCTTGGTCAGGTGGGTATAAGTCAGAAAGCAATTAGAGATATCAGCTAGACATTAGTTTTTGATCTTCTATAGATATATTTTCTGAAATACAACAGTGAATTAATAAATAACATAGCTCCTTTAACTTAAAAATGAGAAAAAGAAGAAAAAGAAAGCAGTGGTGGTCAGAAAAGTGGCCCTTTATTACACAGCTGATCTTCTCTCACTGTGTAGACAAGTGCTTTGCTTCCTCCTTACTTTTGTGGGAACAATGTTTTGATTACTGCCATTGCAAAGTCAGTGCATCTAGGTGAGAGTTAGCTGCATCACGCTGCAGTTTGTACGCCGTAAGTGTTAACAGAAGCTCTGATCATGCTGCCCTAAGCATTTTGGCCTGCTACGAATGCAAGCTAGCCTTGATTTCTATGGAAAGGCATAATGTGCCTCTCTGTGTACGTACACTATCCAGCTTACAAACATTCAAGACCTGGCTGACATGCTGCCTCAACTTGTGTTTTGAAGCTCTCCCAAGGGGGAAGACCCAAGCATGCTCAATGCTTTCAAAGGCGCCAAGCCAACTGTCAGTGCAGTCCTGGAGTCAGTTTGGGGCTCTACCGCCCAGTCTACCAGCTAATGCACCAACCTCAGCTCTGCCTGCACCTGGTCTGTGTGCTCTGAGCTCAGGCTGGCTGGACCCATAGTGTGGACAGAGCATGCCAGTGTTCATTGGTATTTAACCCTGCTGTGTATTCTGCACTGTATTTTGCAATGTGCACAATCTCCTCTGGTGGTTTTGACCTCCAGCAAAGCTCTTTCACCCATGTGAGCTTTTCCTGGCAACTGCTGGGTGAATACAGAAAGAGGATGTTCTCAGAGAGAGCAGACCAGCTGAAAAGAGCTGATAGGAACAGTCTCATGTGTATCTCCAGCAGAAATGCTGTGTTGCACATCAATCCATGCTGTAGCCATGCTTCTGCAGGGTTGTGTAGCAGCGTACGTACAAGAATAGCACATGCCTCCTCAGAGAGAGGGTGAGATAAGTTTCCTAGATTCAGCTAAGAGATGTATGTTTGTGTGTTTTATTTCCTCCTTGTAGCTACAACAGAGACTCGGAGGAATTAATGAAATGGCTGGATTCTGCTCAGCAGAGAATGAATTTGTGGAAAGGGCAGTCTCTCAATGTGTCGCAAGATCTTCCCACCATCAGGGATAACATCAACAGTTTGTTTGTAAGTCATTTCTCCTGCCAGGTTTAGATAAGACATTGTGACTTTCAGTGAAAATTATCCTTTTGAGCAGTTTTTGTATTTGCTTTGACTCAGAAGCTGCCCACATAATACAGCACTGAATGACTGTGTGCCCCAAAGCCACCCCATTATCTGTGGGGAACCATGAGGATGTGAGGCCACCAAAGATCTTCCTTCAGATTGTGAGGCCAGCCAGAGTGCATAAATCAGAATGCAGTCCTCTCATAATGAGCTCCCAACTGCAACACACCACAGCCTAGCCAGGATCTCTTATGCACCTACAGTATAATAGCATGGTTTCTGTCTTGCTCCTGATGCGAAATACAGCAGTTCAGCCAAGCTGATGAGCCACTTACCAACCGAATCTGGAGTGTGGGCTCAGGGAGTGAAGACAGCAGGGCTGTGAAGAAGAGGCAGGGAAGTACTCCCCCTGTACTAAGCACTGGTGAGGCTGCACCTTGAATACTGTGTTCGGTTTTAGGCTCCTCACTACAAGAAAGACCTTGAGGTGCTGGAGCATGTCCAAAGAAGGGCAATGAAGCTAGTGAAGGGTCTAGAGCACAAGTCTAACAAGGAGCAGCTGAGGGAACTGGGGTTGTTTAGGCTGGAGAAGAGGAGGTTGAGGGGAGACCTTATCACTCTCTACAACTACCTGAAAGGAGGTTGTAGCAAGGTGGGAGTCAGTCTCTTCTCCCAAGTGACCAATGATAGGACGTGAGGAAATGGCCTCAAGTGGTGCCAGGGGAGGTTTAGATTAGATATTAAGAAGAATTTCTTCATTGAAAGGGTTGTCAAGCATTGGAACAGGCAGCCCAGGGAAGTGGTGGAGTCACCATCCCTGGAGGTATTTAAAAAGACATGTAGACGTGGTGCCTAGGGACATGGTTTAGTGGTGGACTTGGCTGTGGTAGGTTTACGGTGGGACTCAATGATCTTAAAAGTCCTTTCCAACCTGAACAGTTCCATGATTCTATGGTCAGCCAAAGCCAGGGAAGAGAAACATGCTGAATTGCATTTCATGTCTTGGCCTGTTCCCCCAGTGCTGTGCTCCCCTTCTATGACTAGCCAGGAGGTTCAGCCCCAAAGTGAGGCCTGACAGAGGGAGTCTTGCGCAGTGGGAAAGCAAAGCATCGTGATGGCTGGACTGGTAGGTGTGAGCTGGCCAGACATTCAAGGACTGGCGTTGTTCCCTGGACCTCTGTGTGAAGTGGGGATCAGGATATTCCCAATCCCTGTGGAGCAAAAGGTGGCATTCAGCATTGTATCAAGCTGGGCAGAAAAAGGCCTTACTTGCTGCCAGAACATGTTGAGTTTAGGTTTTCTGAACTTTACAAACTTGCTAAAATCTGTTTGTTGAGGCAGTTCATCCTGTGACTGAAAACCTGGTTTAAATATTTAAGTATAAATATTTACCCTCTCTTAAATTTCTCCCGTGCATCTCAGACATTCTCTAAGGAAGTTGATGAAAAATCTTCCCTGAAGTCATCTGTGGTGAGCACTGCCAACCAGCTCTTTCACGTGAAGCAGGCTGATACTGCAGCACTTAGGTCATCTTTGGCAAAGTTTGAGCAAAAATGGGGAGAACTGATTACACAGCTCCCAGCCATCCAAGAAAAGCTTCACCAGGTGAGGAGAAACTCTGCTGCCATCTCTCAGTTCAAGCTAAATAATTAATTTTAAATGTTGCTGTTGGATTCAGTTGGCTGCTCCATAAGGCTTCCAAAGCACCTCTTTCCTAATTAGCTGTCTGTCTTGCTTTCAGAATATCCTCGATATTGTACTGCAGTTTAATTATTGCAGTGTTCCTCCTGGGCCGTTTTGCACATATCTATAATTTTTGCAATTCTATATGAAAGTCTGTTACAATTAGAAAGAATTTTATTTCAAATTTCTGAATTCTCGAACTTTTCTTAATTTAAGTCTTATGTCCCTCTGGAGCACAGGGCTCACTTTCAAGTTCATACTCCTGTAATTGCAATTATAATGCCTGAGCCTTTCTAAAAATATAGATGTCATCTTCCTTGATATTTCTAACAAGCAGAGTGTAGAGGATTCATTATATGCTTTACCCCCAGCTTCAGATGGAAGAACTTTCATCGCGGGAGGCTATTGCTGAACTAATGATCTGGCTGGACCATGTGGAACAACAGCAGGGACATGAGGAGCCAATAAATTCACAGCATAGTGCTGCCCAAGTCAGAAGCCTCCTTCAGAAGTACAAGGTACATGGGAAGCTGTAAGTCCAGGCCTTCTGCAAGGTGTTTGGCTGTAAAAAGGATGGAAACAGCCTACAGGCACTGTCATATCCTTCCCCTTGCTCTCGGGAGGGTTCCTCAAACAGTCTCAAAGGTGCCTTAACATCTTCCTTTATAAAAACCTTTTGCTTCCATGCCACACAAAACACTGCCTGCCCTGCAATACAGCTACTGCCTGCTGTGCTATAATCTCCTTTTCCTCATGCTGTCCCATCTGTCTCGCTTGTTTTCTCTCTCTTACATGTAGATTATAAAATGTGTTGAACAGGAAAGCTTTGCCTCCTTAGAAAGATAGACTCTGTGTTTGTGCTGTGTTTTAGTCTGTATTTTCAACAAGGAATACCTCATAATGGAGCTCCATAACCAGGATCCATCTAACTAGAGAAGTGGGTTTTTGAAGATTATGTTAATCAAAATAGATAACCTGTTAGGAAAGAGGGACAAAGTGAATGTCCCTGCAGAGAGAGAGAGGCTGCAGCAGACTCTTGGCTCTGTTCAGATGCTAAAGCACCGATGGCAGAGGCTGATTGCCCCAGCTACAGGAAGGATTCAAGCTGTGCTTGTAAGTCCATAGATGCCAGGGAGCCCAACCTCAGGGCACGAATCCCTACAGAGCCATATTTTGCTCTGGGCTCAGGCAGGACGACAGTTCTCAGTCTACAGCCGCAGTTCTCAGGCACTTTGGTACTACACATAATGCAAGTGCCAATGTAAGCGTTTCTTTCAAAGGGCCTTAATATAGCAGATACATAACATTTTGGTCTATATCAGTTGGATTTGGCAGTTGGAACATGTAGGTCAGGTCCTGTTTTTAACTCTTTGAGTATTTAGAGATCAGTTTGTAGGTGTGTCTTCTGCACTTGTTAGCAACATGGGGTTGCTTATGCTGACCAGAAAGCTGGGATGAGGGTCGTGAATTCCTACAGGGAAGCAGCTATGGCTTCAGTACCTCTACTATGGTATGCCCTGGTGGCTTTTTTCTAGGTGCTACTAGATACGATGAGGAGCCTTTCCTCCCCTCTACTTCTGAAATAAAAAGGCATTCCCTTACGCTGTTCTCACTTTGCCTGTAGTTTCTCTCTCATCTCTGTGGGCAAGGACACTGGTGCTGGAGGACGCTTTTTCCTCCCAGATATTCTGATATTCTATTCTGGTATTCTATTCTAATACCAGATATTTTGATAAAGGAGCACAAGCTCTTGTCTGCACTTGTCTGTGAGTCGCAGGAGTGTGGGAAGGCCTCAGTCTTAGCCTAATCTGGGCCTATGGCAATGTGATGATATTGTCCAATGGATAAAGTACTGGGTCTGGTACCCCTACATTTTATTCCCTGCTCTGGCACTAGCCTGTTCTTACTTGAGCTACCCATATAATGATAGTGATTTTCTGCAAAAGTTTCAGTGGATGGAAATAGCTACACAAATATAGAATGGTAAAAACTGAGAATTATTCCTACAGCTAGATCTCTTTCAGAAAAATACTTTAGGCCATGGTTCAGAATAAGCTGTGAATGTCCCATAACTATTCCTTGAAGCATCATTGGAACTGATCAGATTAAAACTGCCAAACTAACTGTTTTACCTTTTTGTTCTTTCCCCCCCGCCTCCAGGAATATATGATGGAGATGAACTTTAAACAGTGGATGGTAGATTATGTGAACCAGTCACTCTTGCAGATGAGCACTTGTGATGTGGAAAGCAAGCGATATGAAAGGACAGAATTTGCTGAATGTCTTGGAGAGATGAACCTGAGGTGGCACAGGCTGCAGGCGTCTCTGAACAGAAAGGTTCGATTGAGTTCTCATTGCTTTCTTTCTCACAACTCTGATCTTGCCTGTGCCCATGCTCTGTATTTTGCAAGCAGCCTTTCTCCCGGAGTTTGAAAACACTGTTGAACACAGCGAGACTCCCTGTGCTCTCTGCTGTCTGTCCATCCTGCTGTCTCATGGGCAGCCTATGGAGTGGTCTTGTAGCACATGAGCGATCAGGTTGTTGGCTGGCATCCAAACCTCAGCAAGGTCTGGGAGGGTAAACTCTCCTGTAACTTGCAGGGAGGGAAAATAGAAAAAATCTGCACTTCGTAACAGCCTGGGATTTACCCTAGTTGACTGTATTAGATGGAAAAAATAAGATTCCTTGTATGAAGAAAATGCAGTCAGTGACATGTCAACAAAGACGACTTATATTGAGAAAACTATGAAAAAGGAAGAATTCAGGGTAGCATCTGCAGAGGGACTTGTTAGTGAAATCTGTTGAAGCTTTGGTGTGCTGTGAAAGTTAGGGCATTTAAAACTTAATGGGAGAAAACAGTGGATGGTTTGTGGAAAGGAGAGGGAGGGGCTGCACTGCTTCATACAAACAGCCAGGCCCTGCTCAGCAAACACAGCACCAAAAAACAAACAACACCTCCACATGCCATATGATGGGAATGAGAAATAAGGATATAATAAACTACCACCCATTTTCTGGTTGTAGCAGTTGGATTTGCCAAAAAAATTATTATTAAGTAAGTAGTGTTGACAGCCTTATTCAGATGGGGACATATGACCCTGCTGGAAAAAGCACAGCAGGGATCAGTTCCCAGCTCCAGCCCTCCTTGGTCACTGGGAATGGGTTCCTCTGTGTCTCTGTCTTCCTTCTGCAGTAATTAAATATGCTTTCCCAAGGGAGTGCTTTGAAGATCAGCAGCTGATAGGCAAATTCTACGTTTAGGCTAACTATACCAGCACACCTTCTGTGTTTCTCTGTAGAAAATCTGTTTCAGGCCTCAGTGCCTCAGAATTACTTTATTCTAGTGAGGCTAGAAACCATAGAATCATAGAATAGTTTGGTTG